AACACAACGTGGTGCGATCATCCCCCTTGCGCGGAGCGAGTGTTCTCCACCCCGCACAACATGATCTACTCGACCACCATTATGGTTGCCGCAAAAAAAAAAACGGAGGTAAAAAAAAAACGGTAACCTGGTTGCCGAGTTCACGCAGTGAATTGGCTTGTTTTACAACGTCTTTGCCAAGCGACGAAAACCCAACCCCGATGGCAAACACCGGGGGGGGCGGCTTGTTTTACAACGTCGTTGCCAAGCGACGAAAACCCAACCCCGATGGCAAAACACCGGGAGGTTTTCACCGGGGTACCCCAAAAAAAAAAACGGTGACCTGGTTGCCGAATTCACGAAGTGAATTGGCTTTTTTTACAACGTCGTTGCCAAGCGACGAAATCCCAATCCCGATGGCAAACACCAAGGGTGCCGGGTGGGGGGTAAACCCCCCCCCGGACTCCCCCCCGCGTTGCGATGCTTGGATCACCTCACGCGTGGTTTGCTTGGTCCACCCAGACCCCCCCCGGACCCCCCCCCCGTATTGCGATGCTTGGTTCGCCACACGCGTGGTTTACTTTGTTCTAAAATATACCATGGTATTTACTAGCGCTAGAAATCTTTGCGGCACCAAAACACAGAGAGGCGTTGCTCCCAAACGAACGGGGCGCTGTCCGCCCTGCCGTGCAGAGGTGCTCACTGAGCGGTACAGCACAGAGTTACGGCTAAAAATCACGGCTTCCATCTCCAAAAACACCTAAAAAAATAAAACCAACGCACTACCAATCGTCAGCGCCTACGGGTGCATACATCGAGCACAGCTGGACGCACCCCGTGCCTTCTTCACGAGTATACATACACGGTCCCGACAGAGTGAGTTTTTTCTCGCTAATGAAATCCTGGTCTCCATTGGAAGCGACGCGCTGCAAAGCTCGTTGTTACCCGATTCCGAGCAAATCCCGGGCCACTCAACCACACCGAAACATGCGCAGCATGTTTCGAATGCATACACCATGAACTCTCTTTGCAGCCACTGGGTTCCGTCCATCCTCCGCTGTTGCTCCCCCAAGGCCGTCCCTCCTTCCAGGCGCTCCGGATCCAACCAACCAGGACATGACAAATCCATCGCAAACGCAGCGTTCTACGCCGTGCCGTTCAACACCGGGACAAAACGCTGATTGCTGTTCCCAGCGGCCGCGAGCTGGGCGAAGAACAGCTGGAAGGCTTGATCAGCCACGAGGCTCTTCAGGAGCGGATAGGGCTCGACCGCGGTGGGCACGATCTGCGGGGCCATCGGATGCACCTGCTGCTGCTGCTGCTGCTGCTGCTGCTGCTGCTGCTGCTGCTGGTGTAAGGGAAGCTGTAGAGAAGCCGCCGTTCCGTTCCCGCCGCCGCGGCCACCGCGGCCACCGCGGCCACCGCGACCTCCGCCCCCGCCACTGCCCCTGCCGCCTCCTCGCCCCGCCTCCCGCTGCAGCTTCTTCTGCTGCCGCCTACTCAGGCCGCCCGGCCGCTCCTCCCCCGTCCCATTCATCTGCTGCTGCTGCTGCTGCTGCTGCTGCTGCTGCTGCTGCTGCGGGGACGGGGCCGCGCTCTGCTGCGGGACTGCGGGCCCCCAGACGACCACCGTCCCGCCGCGCTTGTTGCAGGCGTTGTGGAGCTCCGTGGCGGAGATCCAGTGCAGGGCGATCATCGACGTGTCTCGCTTGTCGACGCCAGGGCCGCCGAGCCCGAAGCGGCGGGGCAGTGACACCAGGTCCGGGCTGCCGAGCTCGCACGCGATCACGGCCATCTTCGCGCTCTGAATCCACATCGCCCGGGCGCGGCCCTCGAAGCAGGTCGTTAAGAAATTCGCGCGCTCGTCGTCGCCGAGGACCTGCGCGTGTGTGATTTTGTTTGGGTTTGCATGAGAGAGAGCGTGAAAGTGTCACAACATGAGTCGGGGAAGGTCGACGTGTCAACGTCCCGTTGCGTCCGCACGGGCAAACACAGCGGTGTGGGCCGCGCGAACACGAGAACCCCAAATTTGTTTCGCGTCATGAGTCCGTTTAACAATATTGGCTGTTGCCGACCACAGCAGTCGCCGTCCGTGGGTACCAAGCAAGCTGCTCTCACTTTCCAGGCCCTCGTCAGGATACGCAGCTACAAACACGAAAGCGGCGAGAAAAGAATTGTTGTACGTGTGCATAGCATCCCGGAAATCGCTCTTGTTCCAGATTTGTTCAGGCGAATGATCTCTCCTTACGCCGCAATTTTGACCGAGTCGGCATCTTAACCAAGCCATTCCATGAATGAACTCCTTCGTGTCACCTTTCCGGACTCCTCCCAGAACTCCCGCCAAGCGGTGTGCTCCGGTCCGGCATCGCTGTCTTCCCTCTTCCCCCCCAAGCAGCTCACGACCAGCTTGTTCTTCCGGATCTCGCTGCCCACCAGCACCCACACCTCTCCCGACGAGGGATCACGGCTGCCACGACACGGCAAAGGACAAAATTGGGGATTTTGCCCTTTTCGAGGTGTCTTGGTGGGCACAGGGGGGGAGGACACCAATCAACCGACAACACGCAAACAAGCATCCAACAAATTTCCGTCCGGATGTGTGGCTTTCTGGGTAAAGGGAGCCGAAGGGGGCACACAATCGGGCTGACGTCGACACGCGGGAGGCCTCGATGATACAAGGCAAGATTCAGTTCGGCCTGCGGCGACAAAAATGATTGTTCGCCGAATGCACGGACAGCAACAACCCACAAAGCCTTGTCCGCTCGAGCGAACTACAACACACTCGGCGTACAAACACCAGCACACGAGCGCACGCTCGGAGAAGAAGCGGTCTGCAATGAAATGCCCAACACACACACACACCTCGTTCGTGCGCGCAAACTGTACTCGCTCACCGGTACGGGAGGATCCCTGCAGACTTGTAGTACTGGCGCTCCCTCTCCCGGACGAAGTAGTCTAGGTAATCGGGGGCTAGCGAGTTGATGGGAGCGTTTTGTCGCCAGTGCGGCATCGGCTGTCCTCTACCGCCTCCAACCCCGGCCGCCTCGCCAACCCATCCTCCTCCCGATGCTCCATTCTGCAACTGCGGCCCTACTCCCAGCCCGTCACCTGGACGTGCACCGGGCCCGAGCTGCTGCTGCTGCTGCTGCTGCTGGGCGGGGCCGCCCACGAAAGGAGGTCCCTCGGCATACACGCCATTTGCGCTCACGCCGTTGTGGGCGCTGCCCCGCTTGTTCTTCTTCTTTGCCTTGTGCGGCTGCTGCTGCGTCGGCGCCCCGCTAGCGCTCCCATTGATTCCGGCGGTCGGATTCGGAGCATTCACAATTAGCGCTCCTCCTCCCACCACCACCTGAGGCCCCAGCCGCACGATCGGCCCCGTCCCGGCGGCGGCCACGGCACCGTCGACGGGCAAGCCATCTGGGCCGTACCGCACCACCTTCAGCACCACCTGGGGCTCGTCGATCGAGAGTTCGTCGTGGTGGCAGCCCGCGTAACCCCCGCCGCCAGCCCACTCCTGGGTGATGCGAGAGGTCACCGGTATCGGGATCCCGAGGCGCACCATGCACACCACGCATTGGGCGAGGGATTCGACCACCTTCATGCCGCGCCGGGTGCGGTGCGCGATGTCCGGCTCCTTGGGGCACCCGAGAAACTTGAGCATGCCGGGCAGGCCCGACTGCGGCAGCGAGTGCTTAATCATCGGTTTTTTCTTGCCCCGACTCCTCGCTCCCGCCGACTCCGCCGCCGCCCCCGCCCCTCGAGACCCCGAACGCGGCGCGCAGCGGCCACCGCTGCCGCCGCCGCCTCCTCCTTGCCCGGTGGCCTCAGCGTTGTAGGCTGCGATGCGGACGTTTAGTCGTTCGGCTTCCCATCCGCACATGCGCGCCGCGTCGGTCCAGGAGCGCAGGTGGTCCGGCAGCTGCAGCTTGTGCTGCCCGATCAACTCCGGCAGATGGTGGAACCCGGATCCGTGGGTCACCACCCACCTGTTACGTTGGGCCCAGCCACCCCGCCCGGCAAGCAACACCGTAAAACACAAACAAGTCAGAATTACTATCACTTGGTGGTATACCAGGGATCATACGCACGGCGGGTGCGCAACGTCGCCAGCATGAGGAGGTGCAAAGGGAGAAAATCGTTAATAGACGAGCAAGACTTCCAACGCGTCAACCTTACGGGTGCGTTGTCGAATGGCTGTCCCTTTCCACCCAGAGGGAATGCTATGGTGTGCTTGTCAACTGTCCATGGTTTGGTAGAGCCACGACGAGAATATCTTCCCTCGGCCAAAAGCGACGACTTGGGATGTTGTAAAACAATGCTCGGCAGAGGAAAATGGTTCACACGACGAGAGACACCGTTTTTTACAAAAAGGAATCAAGTCACGTAAAAGGCTATTCGTACGCCGCCTACCGGGCAAAAACACACAACTTATCACCCATCCACCCACCCACCCACCCACCCACCTGAAATTTCCGCGCTCGCTGAACCCCGCTGCGTCCCTTGGGCCTGGGTTCAGCCCGATTGAAGCCATCCACTGTTGCAACTCCTGGAGCACGTCTGGCAGCGGCAATGCTGAGGAAAGCGGGTTCGACACCCCCCCAGTTACGACGCCGTCACCAACAGCAATCCCTCCTGGGACCCCGTCCCCGAACAGTGGCGTCTGCTGAGGTTGTTGCATCAGCTGTTGGGGTTGCAGCTGCAGCAGCAGCTGCTGCTGCGGCGGCGGCGGCTGGAGCTGCAGCTGGTGAGGTGGCATTGCCGAGGCCACCACCACTTGCGCGGGCAGTGCTGCCACTGGTGCAGCCGGTGGTTTTGGTGTCGGCACCACCCGGACAAAGCGAGCGAACCGGCCGAGCTGCCGTCCCGTGGCGGCTTCCATGGCGAGACAGACAAACTCGGTGATCTTGTTCTTGTTGGCGACGTCTGAGGGCGGCAACAAGGGGAAGGGGAGAGCGGGGTGTTTGACCACGTGCGGAGGAGCACGGGCGAGGTTTGCAACGATAACCAGCGCCCTACATAAAAAGCACACGTGCCACCAACAAACGCGCACAAGCACGTTGAAAGGGATGGGTCTTTCTTTTGCACGAGAACATGGAGCTGCATGCTACGACACACCAAGAACAGGGCATTCCTGAAGCAATTGTTATGGTCAAGGGTGCGTGCAAGTGTGGCAATGCTTGCAAGGTTGTGTTGCAGTGAGAGTGCACTCGATGCTGCTGCTGTTTTGTGGGGGCATGGAGAAGAGACGACACGGTAAGCGGACATCAACATGCGGCAATGCTTGCAAAGGTTTCAGTGAGAACGCACTTGATGCTGCTGCTGTTTCGTGGGGGCATGGAGAAGAGACGACATGGTAAGCGGACATCAACATGCGGCAATGCTTGCAAAGGTTTCAGTGAGAACGCACTTGATGCTGCTGCTGTTTCGTGGGGGCATGGAGAAGAGACGACATGGTAAGCGGACATCAACATGCGGCAATGCTTGCAAAGGTTTCAGTGAGAACGCACTTGATGCTGCTGCTGTTTCGTGGGGGCATGGAGAAGAGACGACATGGTAAGCGGACATCAACATGCGGCAATGCTTGCAAAGGTTTCAGTGAGAACGCACTTGATGCTGCTGCTGTTTCGTGGGGGCATGGAGAAGAGACGACATGGTAAGCGGACATCAACATGCGGCAATGCTTGCAAAGGTTTCAGTGAGAACGCACTTGATGCTGCTGCTGTTTCGTGGGGGCGTGGAGACGAGACGACATGGTAAGCAGACATAACGTGCGGCAATGCTTGCAAAGGTTGCAGTGAGAACGCACTTCATGATGCTGCTGTTTCGTGGGGGCATCGACCAGAGACATCACCAGAAACCAACAACGCGAGACACGACTATTCTAGGCTCACTGCTGTGTGTTGGTTCGGAGGTGCAGGCCCAGACGAGGGTGAATGTCCTCAAATAGGAAATCGTTTCATGTTGTCAAGAAAAAAAGTGCCGACACCGAAATCAACCCATCCGGGCAGTAAACATATGCATACCTGCGATCACAAGAACGGGGGGTACCCCGGCGGCAATTCCCGGCAGGCCGCCGTAGCGGCCACCGCCTCTCGATGCCGTCTCGATCATCAAGCCCCACCTCGGCGGCTGCGGGTCGGGAAGTCGGCCGCCGGCGAGCCATGCTGTTCGCCGCTCCTCGCAAGCCCAACCATCGTGGACGTCGAAGCACCCGACCCCAGCCGAGCAGTATCCGGCCGCAAACCCTCTGCACATCACCGGCTCCTTTTCTTTCTTCTTCTTCTGCTGCTGCTGCTGCTGCTGCTGCTGATGTTCCTGGCTGGCCACCAGTGTCGGCGCTACTGCTCCCGGACCTGAATGCGCGGGGTAAGGGACCGTGACTGCGCGAGACAGCAGCCTGCTGCCTGGATTGGACGATGATGATTGCCCAACTGCTTGTCCCGCCGCTGTTGACATTTTCGACGCTGCTGAGGGATCGCCGCTGCTTCGGGAACGCTTTCGCTGCTGGGGAGCGTTGCGGGCCTGCTGTTTCGGCGGAGGATATTGCTGCTGTTTCGGCGGATGCTGCTGCTGTTTCGGCGGATGCTGCTGCTGGCGCGGCGAATGCTGCTGCGGGCGTGGATATGCTGGTCCCCGGTGATGATCGGCTTGGTGGGCAGCGAGGTGCTGAGGGGATGCCGCACCACCACGCACGAATGGAAGGTCGTCCCATTCGTCTTTGTCGGCAACTAATCGGTCTGGACCCCTTTTGTTTTGCTGCTGCTGCTGCTGCTGCTGCTTCTGCTGCGGGTGTTGCATCCTTGACATTATTTACTGCTCTGGCTCTATCTCCCGCCCCGGTGTGTATATGTTCGCTCTCTCCAAGCAAGTCGTCCACTGGGCACGACCCCAGCACCAAGAGAGGGCACAAGCAGACAAATATATCGACCTCCTTGCAATAATTTTCCTCTGCGAAGCTCCGGGGACAAATTATATACATCCCCGGGGTGTTCCTGTTGGAAATTTTGGTTCGTGAGCACTTGGCGACAGCATTGGCGACGTTGCGACGTTGCGGCGTTGCATATCGAGACCCAACAACATTTTGCTGTGTGGTGCTTTTCTCCTTGCTGTTGCGTGGGGATGGTGCGTAGAAAGGAAGTGCTACAAGCAGCCGCGGCGCTTGCGTGTTGGCAGAACCACGTTCGTGTCGGCCCTAATCTGGCAAGTGCTTTCGTCCGCCATCTCTCAGTGAAAGAGCTCCTTGGTTCTTGCCGCCGACACCGCCGCACTTCACCAACAACAACAACCGGCAGACTTCTCACGCCAAGACCACCACCACCACGAAGCGGTGTGTGCCTGTCGGAAGGTGAGGATAAAAACGTGTGATGAGAGCCTTGCTTGCAAAATGTGGGCGTTGCGCATGTAAGCTATCTAGACTATTATTGCGCAATGTACAAGTGAAACACCCATGGGTACGTCACACGCAGACAAGCTCTCCCTGTTTGATGTGATGATTGTGTTCGTAGTTCGTGGCTCGCTTCACCGAGTGGCAGAAGACGCGTGGCTAGCTCGCTCGCTCCGACCAGTTTATCTGCCGCCGTTTGCCTGCAAGCAGTGTATCCCGGTGTGAACCGATATGTGTGATTCCAGAACCCAGAACGAATTTTTAAGAAATGTAGATATGCGCAAATGCCGGATCCAAACGAGGTTCCGCCGCCGCTTGGGGCGAGTGCTGCTTGTTTTAGGTACGCTGCGATGCGACGCTCGGGGTTCTCGCATTGATCTTGCCGCCATCGTGAGGCTAGTTGTATACGTGGGTGATGCGTGTCTTTGTGAAGCATTCCTCCCAATGAATACCACGCGTTCCGCCCCTCATTTCCTCCCATTTTTACGGATAGATGGGGCAGCAGATAGCTTAGGAAACGGGGAAAACGGCAACGATGTCGACAACAACGGCAGCAGCAGCAGCAGCAGCAGCAGCAGCAGCAGCAGCAGCAGCAACGGAAACGGAAACGGAAACACCGGTAGTGAAGGCGCTGGGGAAGCGAGCAGGAAGGAGGGTGCCAGTTTCGGGGAGTGGGACGTGAAGCCCGAGGAGAACAACATATCGGAGGATGAGATGAGCGGGCTCTTTCGCCGCATCTCGGCGCTTCGAAAGCGAGAAGTAGAGGTAAGGAAGGCTGCGTCGCCATATCTTGTTGTCCTCGTGGCGTCCTCGTTGCTGTTGGTTTACCGCTTCGCTGGGTATTGGGGTGAGTGGCAGATACACAGCAGGGGGCACTTTCCCTTGCCCGGCCATCGCCTGTCCCATCCTGTCGCCCTTCTCACTGCTACACGTTTTCCTTGCCCAGTTTCCAACCACGCTTTTGCTCTCTCTCTCTCTCTCTCTCTCTCTGTCCCGCTCTCTCTCTCTCTCTCTCTCTCTCTCTCTCTCTCTCTCTCTCTCTCTCTCTCTCTCTCTCTCGCTTCCTTGCTCAACTCCGCGAAAAAATCGTCACACAAGCTTACCCCTCCCCCCTCCCCTCCGTCCCTTACCTCCCCTAACAAAAAAAATAGATCGACCGCGTGTGCGCCTACAACTGGCGCAAGGGCACCTGCTCGCACGACCTCCTCTTCCAGGCCGCCGACCCCATCCAGCACCTCAGGTGGGTGGGGGACCACCTGGCGTTCGGCACCGACGGGGGAGGGACCTGGATCATCAGCCGGCAGACCGGCTTCGTGATCAACGTTTTCGAGGGCCACTCCGGCGCCGTTACGGGTGGGTGGTGGAGGGGTGCTGTACTCATATTAAATGCATGCCGTAGTCGTTAGACCATGCGGCCTCGCGTCCCTACCAATGCCGGGACGAAGGAGCGATAGACTGGGTTTGTCGCGGGCCCAGGCTACGTTTCACAAGGATGAACCAGAAGCTGGTCGTCGGGGTGGGGGCGGGGTGGGGGGGCGTACTCATGTTTTCATGCCTTAGCGGCTAAACCATGTACCGCGAAGAGGAGCATTGTTCCCACAGGACTGATCACCGCTGGTATTGGGGTAGAGTGTGGCAAAACGTATTGAGCGCAGAAAAGGGTGCTGACTTCCCAGCGGACGGTCGGGCTCTGGGGTTTACGGGCCGTTGGCAGATGGTGCTTGGTCGGTCAGGCTTGGGAGCTTAGAAAGGCGTCGGGTACGGCTGCTGTGGTTGTTGTTGAAGGTTCTTTTGTTGCTGTTCCGTGATAAAGGAATCGGCAAGTTTTTCCCGGTGCATTCGGGATCCCGCCCTCCTGCCGAAGCCCGTGCTCTCACCGACAACACTCTTCATCCATTGGGCGAAACCAGTTGGTTTTCCACAGTAACTTCTTGTTTTTTCTTTTTTTTTTTGTTCGCATCTGGGCGCTTTGTTTCGTCGTTGCCCAGCGTTGTACTTCGATGGGGAGCTGTTGGTCACCGGAGGAAGCGACAAGACAGTTCGCGTTCAGCGAAATAGCCGAGACTGCCTGGAGAAGGTGCGAGGAGTTGTCCATGTTTTTGTTCGGTTTTGGTCTCAGCCGGTTGCCAAATATTTCCGCTAGACCGGCTGCTTTACTGGACCTGCTGCCATTGCAAGCCTAACGTTTTTCTGTATCAAAAGCACGGCGATGTTCGGCAACAAGGGATGGTTGACAAAGCTGGCAACGATATTCTTCTAGCAGCAACAAAGTTGGTCTTCTCGCTGTTGAGAGTAGCTTCTTGGTTTCCTGTTGGTCCGTGGTTGCCATGCGTGCCACATATTCACTCGGTGCAGTTTCGTGTGCAAACGTTCGGGTGGTCGGCCTGGGTACGCGCAAGTAGGTGTGGGACACGTGCCGACACGCTAAGCACTACCATACAGACGACAGGAACAGCCATCAGGACAACAGGATCACATCGACAAATCAATAATTTCAGCAAAACAAAAACAACTACAACAACAATAGCAATTGTTTTACGCACGACCAGGAACAACTAGGAGAATGCCTCCACGTGCTAGAAGGCCACACCCAGCGCATCACGGGGGTGGCAAGGCTGGACGGGTCCCGCCTGGCCACCAGCTCCGCGGACGGCAGCCTCCGGGTGTGGGACGTGTCGTCGGGGGAGACGCTGCACGACGTGTTGCTGCCCTCGCCGGCCTGTTGCCTCGGCGCCGCGGGTGAGCTACTCTGCTGTTGCTCTCTCGAGACGGTTTTTTTATTATTCTGTGACTCAAGGAGCTCAAGTATGATTGCACTAACAACCACCCGAGCATCACTATAGATCGTTGCGAATGAGTCACAGAGAGGTCCAAACCGGAGTGCTCAAATGGTAGAAGAGGACTCACGGCGCCCATCCAGCACCACCCCACAGTTCCGAGCACTTTGTCTGCAGAAAGATCACAAGACACACATGGACGTCTCCTCGTTGCTGTTTCATCCTTGCCGCCGTGATTCATGTGCGTGCACCTTTGCGATTGTGTGCGTTCACGGACGATTTTGGGGGGACTTTTGTCTTCGAAGAGGAGAGCCTGTCCTCGAGGAGGATGAGGTAAAAACAGAACGTCATATTTGCTCAAGTCACGTGAGGATTCTTCAACAGTCATCTGTTTTTAGCTACTCGTTCATGGTTGTAGGTGGCGCTGGACGAAGATACATAAAGAAAAAGGAAGGAGTCAAATCGTGACGGCACCGATTGAGCGACCTTCCTTCCCGCGTGTATCATATCTTATACTTCATATCTCCACCTGTGATGACCTTTTGTCGAATAACCACAGGCAGAACATTGTGAGGGTGCGCGTGCACGATCTAAAATACCGCCGGCGGTTTCGTTGCTCCCGGGCTTGCGAAAATCCTCGGAAAAACCTGGAAGCAGATCATTGCTCATTAATTCCACAAGAGGGGAGGAGTAAGCAGGCGTGCTGACCCGCATCCGCGCCTCTCCCTGCAGAGGAGATCAACCGACTAAACCTACCGTGGGTTGCACAAAATACCACTACCCCCTGGACGTATTGCCGTAGCCGATAACTCTGCAGCCCTAAAAGACTGGCTGTGCTGAAGATGGTGGCATTGGAACCTTGACATGGAGCTTTCCGAAAAAGTACAATGTTGTGTGGATTGATCGTGCTTTCTGAAATGGGTCCAAGGGTGTGTGGTATCTTACGCAACAATTCGGCAATTACCTTTGTGTTGTCATGGTCATATGCCGCCGCCACGGTTGTGTGGATTGATCGAGCTTTGAAAATGGGTCCAAGAGGGTGTGGTGTCTTACGCAACAATTCGGCAATTACCTCCTGTCGTCATGGTCATATGCCGCCGCCACTGGACACCCTCGTTGCGCTTCTTCTCATGTAGTGTCTACATTCCACACTGCCCTCATGTGCGGTGCGTGTTCGCCCCCCCCCCCCTCGTATCGGTGCCGTGCCTACTGCTGTGCGGTAGAGGGTTACATGGTCACAGGTCTGATGGACGGGAGGGTGTTGGCGTGGGAGGCTAAGCGGCCGGAGCGCGCGCCGACGGAGATCCTGACGCTCGACGCTCACCGCGGGGCGGTCACGACGCTCAGCTTCCCCAAGCAGGTACACGTACGAGGGTGGTGATGGGTGACCGACTTGGTACTCTTTTCTCGTGTGTGGTGTATAGTGCTCCATGACAAATCGTTCCGCTTCCCGAAGTAGTTGGTGGTGATGGGTGACTCACTTGGCAGTCCCTTCTCATGTGTAGTACATAGTACTCCATGACAGACGCTCAGTGACTGACCTCGTACTCTCTTGATGTGTGGTACTTCGTAAGTATATACCAGACGTTCAGCTTCTCCAAGCAGGTGCAGTAGGTGGTGATGGGTGACAAACTTGGTGGTCTCTGTTCTCTCATGTGTGGTACATAGTACTCCATGACAAACGTTCCGCGTCCCCAAGCAGTGGGTGGTGATGGGTGGCTGACTTGGTACTCTGATCATATGTGGAACATACCCGCTAGCACTGTACCAGACGCTCCGCTACCCCAAGCAGGTGCAGTAGGTGGTGATGGATGACTGGTTTGGTAGATCTCGATATGTGGTACGTAGTACATGTGCCAGACGCTCAGCTTCCCCAAGCAGGTAGGCGGTGATGGGTGACTGCCTTCGTCCTCTCTTTTTGTGGTGTATATGGTGTTTTCTATGCCAACCCTACGCACTTTTGGGGGGGATGGTAGACTTTTGTGTTGCTTGCACAAGCGAGCGACCCCCTACTGTTGGGTCTGGGTGGGGTGGGTTGGGATGTGGTGTCGCGCGGGATGGGCGTGTTGCGGCAGGGCATGCGCAGTTGGCTCAATTTTTTGTCCGTTGTGTTTCTCCCTCTCTCCCTCCCTGACATTTGTGCTGCTGTTCCGACCAAAACCTTCTGTGATATCGCTTCTTTCTGTTGACAGAATGTCTTTCTGGCGGGGGGAGAGGACAATGCACGGTTGTTCCCGATGTTTTTACCGTTGTTCTGACACCAAAACTTGGACCTGCTGTCCTATTTTTGTTGTCTATTCGTATTGTTTGCCTTCGTTGGCAGGATGTCCTGCTGACGGGGGGAGGGGACGGCAGAGTCAAGTACTGGGATCTCAACCAGGGGGGGGCGGCGGAGGGGAACCGGTTCGAGGTCGGCGGGGAAAGCTACACCCACGTCTTCCGGGTACGCGCGGAGTTCGTGGCTTGGTTGCGGTGTACTCATGTTTCGCATGCCTTAGCGGTTGGGCCGTTGACCACGCGTCCTCGAGAGGATGGAGCGTCGTCACCACAGGATCGATCGATCACCGCGGGGGGTGGTGTGGCCGTGTTTTTCGGAGGACGTCTAATCTGGGAGCAGCACTGTGCTGAATGCACGACACACGCACACCATGTCGCCCACTGAGGCAGTGAGTTGGTAACTGCGCGCGAGGCGTGAGGTTGGGCGATGTTTTTGACCCGTTTGAGACGAGAGTGTTACCTGTCGGCCGAACGAGAGAGGGCGGAAGGGGAGGCAGATCGGACAGCTACAAATGCGTGACCCTTTTCGTCCTGCACGAGCATACCATCATGATAATGATGCAGCGTGCTAGTACTGCAGCGGGAAGCATACTGCCGTGGCGCAGCGAGATCGTAACAATTACAGCAGAGCGAAAACCTGCAAGCGCGAAGGACAGTGCACACTCACCTCAATGAACTACTTCCATATTTTCCTGCAGAAAAAAAAGAGCATATCTAAAGCATTCCTGCAGCGGTTTGGCAGTACAAGTAGTAGTATTCACTGCTCCTGCCACGTTCGACCAAGTACCGAGAGACCACCACCACCACGCCTTGTTTTGTGTTCTCCCTACGCACGAAGGGCCACGCGGCACCCGTCACCGCGGTGCAATGCGACGAGCATCGAGTGGTGTCGGCGGCGAAGGATGGTACGGTGTCAGTGTGGGACATCCGCAGCGGGCAGGAACTTTTCCAGATCTACGGTCACGCGGACGGGGTTAGCTCCCTCCAGTTCGACAGGGAGCAGCTCGTGACTGACGGTGAACCGATTTTCGACACACTGCTGTATGCAGGCCGTGTTGTTGTTCCTGTTGTCTTCTTCGCATCAAACATCGCTGCGGTCTCCGCTCAGTTCCTCGTGAGACCCCTACCGGCCCACCTGATACGGAGCAAATAATCTAGACCTTAAAAAACACGATGGCACACCTGTGTGTTCGCCCGCACATGTGCGCTAGATCAAACCACTCACAGCGCTCATTGATCCAGACTTGTTTGTTTCAAGAGAAAAGTGTTCCTCCCCCCCAACACACTGCAGCAACAGCAGCAATAGTTTCTGACACAATTTTTGTGACAGTTTCTGAAACAATGGTTGTGTTTTTTTTTTTCGTTCGCTCTCACGCTTCGCGACGAAACATTGTAGGCACCGGAGAGGCCTTGTACTTGCACGACTTCACGGGGAGAAGAGGAGCCCCCGCCGTGATGGGCTCGGGCAACCCTTTCGGCGATGACGACGACGACGACGACGACGACGACGTCGAAGATAGTCAAAGCGGGTTTCGTATCGGCGGGGGGGGCGGGGGACG